GCGTGGGTAGGTACCTGTAAGGTAAAGTAGTCGATAGCTTTGGCGCGGCAGGACATCACACACAACCTTCGTGCAGACTGTAGGAAGAATCGTCATCTGAGCTGCAAACTCATCACAGGCTTATTTACTACTTCTCTGTGGGATTCTGGCAACTCGTTGTTTCCGGCCACCGTTCATTTGGATACTCTCTACTTCATGAATGTGAAACGGGAGAAATTCGTGATCTAATAAAACCATTGAGAAACGACAAAGACTTCGCAGGTCGCCAGATAAAGTTTTATGCTGGATTCTCAGGTATTGACATAAACCTTATCATTGAATGCATGATGGACGATCCTAAGATTTCTGACTGAATAATCTCGGACTGTCAACCTCATCGTAGTACTATTTGTTCGCACGTCGTTCGCCGTTCAGCCTCATTCCGACGATCAGGCTTCTCCATATAACCCGTTGTCTGAACATCGTGGGTCAAAAAATGGAGCGATCGCTGGTGACACTTTGCGGTGGGTTCAGAAATGGAACTTCAAGATTCTGCTTCAATGTCTGCTTTTGAGACGATTGCGAATAGGCACAAAAGTTGATCGAGCTTGTCGGTGCATACGAAATGGCCAAGACCCGACAAAGATCAAGTTTGATCGCCTGAAGCTCTCTGAACTCACTTGGCCGCTCAGAGGAACATGCCAGTGGTCCTAAGAATCTTTCTTGTTTTCCAGATATCTGCAGGTAGCCCACATAGTAGCTTACCGATGGCTTGTGCTAGGTGTACTCGTCATCAAATTTCGTATTCCAAAATCGGAAGTTTTCTCGAGCGAAGCAGCTGCGACCTAGGACAATGACCTTCTCTTATTTGAAATAACCGTTGCTAGCCCAAGCTTCCAGTCTGATGCCAAGGTCATGACATCCGCGGTCTTAGTCTTGGTACGGTGCTGAGAGTAAGCATGAGGCGCCGCAGTTACCATAGTTCGCATGCATGGTGATAGCCTCCGGTACCGATCGACGTCTTTCGCGGGGTTGGCGGAGCCGCTGAGGTTTTATGGTGGTCCTTACCAGGGATTGAAGCTATCGTGATACATACTTGACAACTCCCTGTGGGGTTGATGAAATATGCTGACTGTGAAAGCCTGAGGCGTTTGATGCCTTTTTACCTCAGTTCTTGACTCGGACTCGACAGTGCACGCCAATGACTACTCTGGAAATACCCAAATCCTTTTGAATTACCATCTTGGCCAGGATCGAGCAACAAAATCTTGGAAATTTGAGGCATTTCCTGTTTCTTCAAAAATGTGATCTGCCGTGATTCATCTTCCCGAATCTGACCGACAATGATGTAAACCAAGGTTGCCATTTTCGGTGCCGTAACATTAGTCGAGATGATTTACATCTCTTTCCCTGCAGCCTTTGAGTTGAGTTTCCCTCGCTGACGCCATTACTGACTCGTGCGATGTCGAGCATTGATTGATGCAATCCTGTGTTATCTTTGTTTTCTGCATACGAGTGAGAGCTATGCGCCGAGTTGCTGCCACGTTTGCAATATGGCTGGATGAGGCGTTATCCTGCATGCTTGCTCACAACGACGGGCGCAGACGGTATCAACTCGCATAGAGGTAGATTACAGCGATTGGGAAAGGTCTCCTGAGTTCTATGGCGCTGTTTCGCTATTATTCTCGGCTACCTTTGCGGGTATCTCTTTTTCCATTGACCAGCCTCTTCTGTCCGCCGTCCAGACGCAAACCGGCCTCATTGCCTGATCCCGATGCATTAAGACGTAATCTTACCGCTGCCGGAGGCTACTACCTACGGCATTGGGCGTGAAATCCCTCATGAAACCAAGTTTGACTGTGCAGCCTCGCCAGGGTTCAGCGTCCAGTAAAGGTTTGAAATTCAGATCATCACCCAATGAAGATGGCCGTCATAGCAACCAAGACTGGAAAGCGAAATCCATTATCAATGTCATGCCGGTGTGGTGGAGCTTTGGCCCCATTCATCGGTGTGAAGGTCAACTTCACCGCCAATAAGACGAGCTTCTATTGAGATTTTTTTGTCTACCTGCTTGACTGCTTCATGCACCGTGCCGAGAGCTGAGGGCGATATTTTCCACCTTGCATCCCTTCTCCACCAGAGATCGTCTCTCTGTCTGCCTGGCTTGCGGCTTGCCTACTGGTGTTCTGCGACTTGATACCCCTATCATATCTTCTCACGGTGAGATCGGGCGGTTCCTCTCGTTGTTAGTGCAGCTCATGTCCACTTTACGAGGCATTTTGTCCAGTGAGAAAGTCTGTATTGTAGTCCACAATCACGCCAGGCTGGGAAAAAGTGCTCGTCGCCTTGGTTGAGATAAAAGATAAACTGGAGCCTTGCGTGGGTCACTGATAGGGCCTTGTCTCAGGGCGCGAAATAGATAGGGGGTCACGTCGTCCGGCATCCATCGATGTTCATCGACATTCCCGAAGTTCTAAACAGGGATTGTAGAAGACTCTGTGTCTCTATCTTTTTTTTTTTTTTTTTTGGCGTGGGATACTTGTTCTGTGTGTGTTTGTGTCGGACCAGAGGACAATCCGGGCGTCTCCTGCCGATCTACTACCCGGTACGTATTAGGCGATTCCAACTTGCTGGGCTGTTTGGCTGTCAACTTGGCATACATGTGAAAATCTTCTTTGGACAAGTCGTTGATCACTGGGCCCTACCGCCTTAGCCTTCGGAGCCGATCTTGCCATTTGATTTAATGTTGTCTTGGTTAGTCGGTGTACTCCGTACCTCCGTTGGCTATCTCTCTACCTTGCAGATAATTGTTGCTCAGAGTTGAGACGTTGAGAAAACTCTGTCCGCCAATCCTTGATCATCTCTACTGTCGGCAAAGAACACCCTGTACCGTTGGCGACACCGACACCGACAACGAACAACGCATCCAGGAATGACACATAGAGCTGTCTAGGTCAAGATTGAACAGGACAGATGGACTTCCGCCGATAAGACAAGGCGCAGAATCCAATGGCTATCAAGCTGTTACAAACGCACAGAACTTCTGAAGAGGCAACCCATTGATACAGACCTTGACATTGGCTGCCCAGGCTGAGGAAAGAGCGGGCCCTTCCGAACACTCCCGATAGGGGTCCTGCAGGCAACATGCCTCCATCTTCCTCAGTGCTTTCATCTCTTGTCTCCATGTACCTCCGGGATTCCCTCAATGTCGCCCTGCCAGTGACCACAATACATCAGGACCCTCCAGAGGATCCAATGACATCAGCGAAAAGTCTGAAACCACGTTCCTGAGTCTTGCTGAAAGGCAGGGCCAATCATCGATGTGTGGCAGGGATGAATAAGTTTTGTCCCAAAAGGCCCAAGCGACAAGACGCTAGAACAACTTGCCCGGCCTTTGCCCTTCAACAATGCGAGATACATTGCCCATGTACATGTGAAATGGCAAAAGTCGCGACTCGCGTTCATCTTGCCTCACACACCCCATCTCAACATCCATGCCATGTCATCCGTCCTCTGTAGCGTATCCGCAGTCTTGTTCCACGGCTTCAACGCTCGTTTAACGGGGTGGACTCCGGTGTCCTGAACTCGTACCTGCACCGAGCATCTCACACTCAACATGAGCATTTGCGGGAACTCCTTGGGCTTCAGAGATCCATCTTCTGATGGGGCATAGCTAAGCACCTCGTTTTACAATGGTCCACTTCCACCGTGATGTCGTCGGCAGCTTGACGTCATAACAGGCCAAGTTGCATCTGTCGCTTAGTGCGGCTTTTCCATTTTACACAATATACCTTACCCAGGATATTGTACGTACTTCCCTAAGGAGTCTTGCAAGCCGACCCAGCGTGTATGTACATGGAAACGTCGCCTACCGAACCCCCGTATCGTTCAGCTCGATATCGATGCCGATTGCTGATGCCTCGCAAGTCTATCCGGCTGCGGCTGAAACGGCGCCTAGTGTACGGATATGGATAGTTTGTCCTCGGGAATAATTGACCGAATATAGTACCTTGGTTCCTCGAGGCTTGGCTCGTAGGAATTTGGTATCACTACAGCGATTCCTGCAGCGGGCTCCAGTTTTTCTCTCTCGCGTCGTAAAATTTCTCACTTTGAGTGTTAGATTTGCGCTAATGTCGAGGTCGATATTCGCCACAGCCGCCGAAAATCTTGAGGCTCAACAATGCGATCTAGTCCTTTAGTTGAGCCTCACAGCAGAAGGTTCAGAACAGTCAATTCATCTGATACCTCGCTTATTCCGCTAGACATGTCGCACATGAATCGAGTGTAGCAGCCAGTTCTCGGAGCTTTGGCGGTGGGAATAGCGAACTGAGGCCTGCCTCCACCTCCTGCAAGAGACACCCTATAACCGTCAGACAGACCGAGGGCACCCTGACTCGGACGTCGTCCATCGGCGCAGCATCGGCGGAGACACGGCACGTCATCGGCCCATTCACCGGCGGAGCAGCGGTCCAGCATCGGCGGAGAAGTTCTACGTCATTAGCTCCAGTAGCAGCGGGTCAAAGGCCCAGAGATAACGGAGCATCAACCTGGTACCGTTGAGACAACGGACGAATACCGACTAGGAACCGCCGGCACCGACTCGAAATCGACATCGAGATATCGACTCAACACCAAGTAACAGCAAGCACTCGCAAGGAGGCACCGACCCTCAATAATCTGTACGGCGTACGGGGCAGCACGTTGGAGAACGGGTCCCCTCCAAGACGGGGGGCATCAACCCAGCACAGACGGGACATTCACGGCGGGTCCGCGGCTGGCGACAACAGAGGACGCCATCGGTCCGAAAATGGCAATCAAAATCAATTGTAGTAGTTAGGTCCAAAGAGCGAGACGTCGAAAAGGATAAAAAGGAATAGATAACTCGGCAACATCTGCTGTTTCTCTTGGAAGCATCACTCGCACATCAATCAACGGCCTCAACCAATCTAACAACCTCCTCTCTTGACACCAATACAACTCTTTACTTTTCAACACCAACTACAACATTCACATCATTCACAATGGCCGCCCAATTCGCTACCCGTCAGCCTGAGCTCGGCATGGAGAAGGTTATGCCTACTCGCCAAGACTCTGGATACGCCTCTCCCTGCGACTCTCCTCGCCTCACCGTCCGCCTCAACGACGGAAACGAAATCCCCCAGATTGCTCTCGGTGTCTACAAGGCCCCCAACGGCCAGGAGACTGAGGACGCCGTCATCGCCGCTCTCGACGCCGGCTACCGTCACATCGACTCCGCCGCCAGATATGCCAACGAGGAGGCTTGCGGCCGTGCCCTGAAGCAGTGGTTCCAGAAGACCAACACCCCCAGATCAGAAGTCTTCGTCACCACCAAGCTTTGGGACGCTGACCACGGCTACGAGGCTACCTTTAAGGCTCTCTGCGACTCCCTCGAGAAGTTCCAGCTCGAGTACTTCGACCTCTACCTCATCCACTCCCCCTCAGATGACAAGGAGAAGCGCCTCGCTTCCTGGAGAGCTCTTGAGACTGCCCAGCGTCTCGGCAAGGTCCGCTCCATTGGTGTCTCCAACTTCAGCTCCCACCACATTGAGGAGCTTCTTCAGGAGACCACTGTTGTCCCCGCCGTCAACCAGATCGAGGTTCACCCATTCTGCCAGCGCCAGGACCTCGTCGACACCTGCCGCAAGCACGGCATCGCCATTGAGGCCTACTCTCCCCTCGCCCGCGGCAACAAGCTTGAGGACCCCACCATTGGCAAGATCGCCGAGAAGTACGGCAAGAGCCCTGCTCAGATCCTTCTCAACTGGAACGCTACCCGCGGCAACATTGTCCTCCCCAAGTCCCTGACTGCCCACCGCATCCAGTCCAACTTTGAGTCCTTTGACTTCGAGCTCTCCCAGGAGGACATGGCTGTCATCGATGCCCTCGGTGCTGAGAACTACGTTACCGGTAGCCTGCACAAGGAGTAAATGATGTCTCAGCAAGATATTTGGCCTGAGGGCACTCCAGTTCGGCAACACCCACCGCTGGATCTTCCAGCAAACAACTGAGCTTTCCTCCATCCTGAGAGCATTGGAACAGCCATTTGCACTGCCGGCGTGACGAAATCCGCACGTCGTCCATCCAGGACATGAGAAGGAGTTGATTGCCGTCGACGCCACTTGGCGTTCTATTCCCCCGTCGCAGTATTTGGAAAGGAGTTTGGGTTATTCATTTTTATTTTTTGGGAGGAAATAGAGACATAGACATTTCATCTAGACAAGCGAGCTAGACTGCAAGCTGGGCTTAGCCTGGTACGAATCTTACGCCCCATTTCTCAACTTTGCTCCCAATGGTTTCTTTTCGTGACATCCTACACCGACTTGGCCAATCAAAGAATATCAATCGGCACAACTAAGCTTGTGGGCAGTGGTAGCTGGCCTCTAACACACAGAGAGATGGTGTTCCGGCGGTGATAAGTTGATCGATAAGATTATGGGCCCCTCCCAGACTCTGATCGGATCACCCTCAGTACCCTGGTGTGTGAGCACCGCGGGTTCACGATACAGGTGCCAGATCTTTGGGACGGACGCATACAATCTTCCCGCACGGACTTAGAGAAAAAGAGAGGCCGGAGAGAAAATGCTGGTGTGTAGTACCGAGTGTGTATTTCATGTCATGTTCGTGGGGAAGAGGACGAACATCGCGTCGGATTTTTCGTATATCCCGACTGTGACTCATCAACCTTAGAGCCCTCAGTGCTTTCACAAAGCTGACTTGATGTTTTCTTCTTCAACATATTTCGCGTTCAGTAATGTGACTGAAGTTTGGGGCACACCGACGGAAGCCATCCATGCCGCGATAGCTCATGCCGCTTTGTCCACACCCAGCCAGCCAAAGTGGACAGCAAAATCTCATAAGCCCATGCTTGGTTCGAATTGAAGATCCAATGGCATCGCATCCAAGGTATTTGCGAGCTCTAGCGCCGATGCCATGGGCCAGTCCCAGACATTCCATTGCAGCTGGTCAAGTACCGGCTGTTGGGGTTCTCCAGCTGAAAAGGTCTTTGTCCGGAGCATGTCGAGAACATCGGCACATTGGCTGATGTGCCCATTGGAGTCGTCAGCTCTTAAATGACGTAAAGTTGTAGCGCATGTCTTTACCAAGTCCTCTGCCTCCTCATCTCCAGCAAGTGGGTGGCCTTTCCACCTCGCAAATAATATTGTAAGACCCGCCTGCCACAACATGTGCAACCCGTTTGGATAGAGATGGGCGACGATGATGGGATCTATCCTCGCTATCCTCGCGGCATCCATCTCCAGGACCGAGTCCGACATGATCGTAGCAGTCAGTCTTATCAGCTCAGCCGAAGCACGACCGCACGCTTGCAGAGAAACTTGAAACTGAGGATCAGCTGTTGTGAAAGCAAGTGCAGGCCGATGAACATGCACCGTGGCGTTGTAAAATGCAGCGCGTAGGAAAGCCACCTCAAAGGTGTCGATCGAAATCGCCGGTGATAAGTCTGCGCTATCATCCTCCAAGTCTACAACCTTATCCGTCGGCAACATCCGCTCCCATAATGTAAGTTCAGCTTGCAGTTGTGTAATCTTGGCTATCCCGCCGCGCCGTCTAGTCGTCGAGTACAGCTTCTCTAGAGCTTCTCCCACAATGACTGCGAGTTTGAACATGCAGAGAGCCGTGTCGACTTGGGATCTTTCGCCGGGTAAGGGAAACACCACGCTCTCACGCGATACTTGGTCGTGGTCAACACGGGAGGGTAAGTCTGTGTCCACGTCCTGGTCGCGGATCAATCTTGGCATTCCGTGGTAAGCGCTGGAGAATCTGATGGTAAGAGATTAGTCAAGACACACAACAAGCAGGCCGACCTTCCAAATACCTACGTATCAAGAGAGTATTGGCACCACCACACGCGCCGCCGGAGTTCTGTCTCCAAAGGATCGAATTTGAACCTCTGGGAGTGGCGATGAAGTCCAAGGTTCTGTGCCATTCTTGTAGCCATGCCTCCTAGTTGCGACGCAGCTGAGTAGCGAGATGATACCTGGAGGTAGATCTGAGCAATCTCTAGCCCTTGGAGCGTCGGTAAAGACGGTCGCTCCTGGAGCTGATTCGTCAACGCAGCGGACATTGCATAGTATTTTTCAGAAAGGCAAAGAAAATGCCGATGTCTCTGAACGCAGGAGCCTGGATGTCCTAATGTTCCTAGAGCAAGTAGACCTAGAACCTGATACAAGAAACTGATGTCGCCGTGTTCGGGGTCACCATTCAACCGACGTAGAGCCTCAACTGTGGAGTGTTTATGTACAATCGGATACAACGGTGTCCAGCAGTCGATGGTTGCCTCGAGGATACTAGCAGCATCAAGCGGAAGTTGGGAGATCATAGCAGCGACAACCTGCGACTCTGAACCCTTGGGCGATGGGCCCCATATGTTGTGAAGATAGAGACTATAGATGCTGCTTGGGAATGTTTCGGTGTGGATTCGTAGCATTTGTAACTGCTGCTCAGCCTGGCTGATAAAATGCACGCCCGTAGACGACCCTGCAAACATAGCTGTCTGGTCGTCATTGGACACTAGTCGGCCCATGTGGCCGATCACCGGTTCCGGCACAAACCTCGACTTGGCGTTTGAGACAGCCTCTTTACCTCGCTGCCATGATGGTGAAGTCCTCAGACCAGCGTTTCCTGTGAGCGTGCTCAGATGTGAGTGCTCTGAAACTGTTTGTTGCGAGTTCCTTATGCCTTGAGGGAGCGAAAGGGGAGCCGAGTCAACATTGCTGCTATGAGCTTCAGGAGTCTTTGAAGCTGCGGAATCGTCGTGTCTTTCCTCAGTTCCTTCGTTTTCGTAGTAACTAGAAGCGACGGTCAGCAAAGGAATCATTGCCCAACTCGATCTAGTCCCTCGCGGATTCTTCGGCTTCTTTGTATACTATATACTAGTAACTTACCTCTTCCTCTTTCTATTACGCTTCAACTTCGTTGACACAATGCAGGCCACGCCTCCAGTGATACAAGGCGTGCACTATCAATTCTTTAGTCTCAAAAGTCTGGATGTGAGCAGGTTGCGTAGGAGAGACAGCCAACCTACCTTTTCGCCATCGCCATGACATCGAATTTTCCTCCTGAAAGCAAAAGGGCCTAAGTCAGCCTTGAGCATCGGAATCAAATGGACCAAGTTTGCCATAGAAGTACGATGAATCCTTGTTTGAAGAATTACTTACCGCCGGCAGCGGTCACTATTGAGCTTATTAGCAACATGATCATCCAGTGGGGTTCTCTTGGTTCCTCTTTAGCCCGGATTAGCATACCAAACTTGTCCAGATTGCCCTCCGGAAGGATTTTCCTGTCCATTCATCCTCCCGTTTCGTTCAGCATCATTGACAGCGTTGAATTCGCATTCGCTAAGAGTGTAGTTGACTCGAGACCCGAAAAAGGCATACGCGCTCGTCGATTATGTGGTGGTGTTGTGGAGAAAGTGATGAGCCGGGGCTGCATCGCTACCGAAAGCCGGACCTATTGCACATTAGTCATATATACCCGTTAGTTGCATAGTTTGTAACGATTTTTCCAGGGCTCATCACCATAAACCATCTTATTCCCCCTTTAAACCCTCGTTGGTGCTAGTCATCTTGGTACAACACTATTCCGCTATTCCGACCAGCGGGTTGTGAAGTTTTACTCTCAAGTCCCATCCAAAACAAGGAAGCTATTGAGGCAAAATGGTTCCCCGCGACGCGGGCTGGTTCTCATCTGAATGAATCCTTAAATTTGGCGGCCATTAACAACCATGCAACTAAGACACCAAGGCTCATTGAGTTGCAAGTGTTTAGTCATACAATAATCGGTTACGATGCACGACTATTCCGCTCTCAAGCTTCACGAGGAACCCTGCGCAAGTTGTGCGCTACATACTTTACACGAACAAGAATCGATATATTCACATTTGAACGGAGAGAGTCAAGCAGGCTCAAAGACGGTTGTTTATTAATCGAAACTTTCGTTAAACGCAGTCTAGGCTGTCCTAAAAGGGGGCTGTCACCTCGTGTCCCTGTTGCTGGCTTTGATGTCATGGTGTTGGGTCAACTGGTGGGACTTGAAGCTGCTTGTGATGGTGTGTGGTGTGAAGCTCAGAAAGGTAAAATCGCTCCGATCCCAAGTGGGGGATCGGAGCCAAATTGCCTTTTGTGTCATCGGCCCCACCTGCCTTTCCGGCTTTCGTTGATGGTCCAAAATCGAGACGCTCTCTCCGGCACCACGCACATGTCTTTTACAAGGAGCAAAATCAATCATGTCAAGAGCATTTTGTATCATTTCTTCCCGGTATTGACAGTAAAGATGTCCATCAGCTCATCTGAGGTTCGAACAGGGGCCTATGAACCAGAACATCGTGACCAGACGCCGCCAAGAGGATCCAGCCGTTCCAAACGGCAGTCATGGTACGTTCAAATCAAACGTCAACTCCTTTTGCGTCTCGAGATGGTGCTAACGCCCTCTTAAGTTTACGATGTGTTCGGCTTCACTTGAAATGTAGTTCGGGTACCAAGTATAATCGGCAGGTCTAAAATTATAGAGTCATAAATACTGAAGGCCATCCGATTAGGTGACACACCAAGTCCGACATGCTCCCCTTGCGCAAAGGCTGCTGAATCGTGTACTTACAAAGCAACCACCCGAATAACATTTCGCCATCATCACAACCCGTCCATAGATGGTTTTCAGGAGTCACCAGAGGACAGCCGAGCTGTTCCTTTCCCAGCTCATCAAGTCTGGCTATCAACACCGTCTACCCGTGAGATTAATACCTATCACGATACTGGTTTCCCTGACCACGTAAAGTCTCTTCAGGTAGCTAAAACTTGTGTAGTTGTATTCTCAGCGGACAGCATCGCTCTAGACCGAGAAGAATCGCCGCAAGAAACAAGTGCTACTGAAAGGCCCCTCAACCTCCCAAGTATTGCCAATCTGATTATCGCTACATCCGCCGAGCCACTCCAGGTGGGAGAAGCAATTCAGATACCAGAACCACCTGAGCCAGATACTTCTGAGTCACTTTACCCTTGCAATGTTGAAGAGCCTCCATGCAATCCTCTATGGCCTTTGAGGGACAAACAAGAAGTCTTGCTGATTCAGCATTTTATCAATCATCTTTCACTTTGGGTACATACTGTCAATTGACCTTTAGCAAGAGCGCAACGCTTTTGATCTGATAGACTGATCCCCGTCCAGTTTGACTATTGCGATAAAGATCGTCACTTCAGAACGGTCATCGTGCAAGCGGCTTCGACCCACTTTGTTCTTCTCAACGCCCTTTTGGCAATCTCATGCAAGCATTTGAGCCAGACACAGCCCGAGAAATGGGTTCCTGGAGAAGCCGACGACTATCAAGCAAGATGCCTACAATCATATATCCCGGCTTTGGCACACCCAGGGTCGGCACGAGGTTTTACTACTGGAGTTCTATGCGCCATTACTATGATCCTGCGACTCTACGAGGAAATGACAGGTGCGGTCTACTTGGTCGCCTTCACATGATCCTGATTGTTGACCGAGTCGAGCCAGTCCCGTCTGTCGATGACCGGCCGTATGGGCACATTTTAGACACGAACATTTTTACTCTACCGGAGTCTCCCGATGATCCAAACTATAGTCTATGTCGCGCATGTCTGCTAGTGGCTATCCGTCAGGAAATCTTCATTTCTTTTGTAGCACGTACCCCTCCACCCCGTCTTGCAGAGAGATGCGGCATCACCAGAACTCTTGAGCCCACGTCCGACTTCGATTGGGCGTGGCGCATCATCACTTTTACTGAGGATGTTTTGATGTTTGCATACGGCCCAGACGCGCGGTCCATCGGGTCTTGGGAGAATCTGCGTGCCTATCTACATCAATGGATGGAGAAGAGGCCGGCATCTTTCAATCCTCTGTGGCAAACGGGCTCTGATCGCGAGACATTTCCTGAGATCGTTTTTGCCAACGATTTTCATAGTGAGTCCCAGTGCTTCTCATTGCTCTTGTGGTTAGCATGAGTATGGGTAGTGATCACTTACCTTTCCTCGTCTACCTAGTTGCTGGCCAGCAGCATGCCATTATCTGCCAGATAATGTTGCTGACTCACGACCCCCGTATGCCTGTACTTGGTCTCGACAAGGCTATGGCTTCAAATGCTGTTGAAGAAGAGATTCGTCGCTTGATCCGCCAAATTTGTGGTATTGCACACTCGGCAGGCGAGTGGCAGCCAGCAACCATAGCCGCGGGAATGACGGTTGCTATGTGTAAGTTCGGCTCTCGGATTGATCCAGTGCAACATCTGGTTGTTGACAATCTGCTATCCACACAGGTGGTCATTTATTTCACGAGCCTGCGGAACAGGAGAAATTGCTTGATATTCTCGCAAAGTCAGAAGCGCACATGGGCTGGTCACTGCTGAGGCAAGAAGAGAAGCTGAAGGCTTTTTGGGAATGCAATGCAGAGCAATAAACGTTTCAACTTGACTCCCGAGGTCTTCACAAGGGGTCTAAATCAAATATTTTATCTGTCTCTCTAATCAGCTCAACGGCTGCCGTTGGTGATTCCAATGGTATCTGCAATCCCATTGTCCCCGTTCAAGTCCTTCCCGTCTCCATTACCATGCCCCTCCCTTTGTCCCAACAGCTCGTCCAGCATCAATTGACAGCATCCTAGGTACCTTGTAGGATCGCACAATTTTGCGAGGTCTGGCGAAGCAAGGTGAGACGTCACCTGTGATGACTCTTCCAATGCTTCCTGCAGTGACATGCTGTTCTCGTGTGCCTTGACGCACGCCTTGTAAACAATCTCGTGCGCCTCCTGGCGGCCGGTGTACTTTGCTAGGTCCATCATGACAGCCTCCGCTACGATCAGGCCCCTTGTTGACTTGAGATTAGCCATCATGGCATCTTTATTGACCTGCAGCCCCGACAGGGCAAATTCGGCTTGGTAGAGGGACCCAACGATCGAAATAAAGGCTGTAGGTATAGCAGCCCATTCTAGATGCCACGGTCCGGAGGCTCGTTCGAAGTCAGAGACCATGCCATCGAGGACAAGGCCGGCTTGTGCGCGCAGAATCTTCGATTGCGCGAGTATCACTTCGCTGGAAATGGGGTTGCGCTTTTGAGGCATGGTCGAGGAGGCACCACGGTGGGGAACGTAAGGCTCGGCAACCTGTGAAGTGTGCGTCAGTATTCTCAACCCATTTCAAGAGCTAGGTAGTAGGTATAAACTCACCTCATTCAGCTCGTTTGATGACATGATAATCAAGTCAAGGGCAATCTTGCCCAAACTACCACCCACCAGGGCAAGGTAGTTTATAATCTCAGCAACAGTATCGCGCGCCACATGCCAGGTGATGATGGGGTCTTGCAACCCAAGAATAGTCGCGAGTCGCTTGCGCACGCGAATGCCACTGTCGCTTGTGCCCAGGGAAGCAAGGGTACCAGCAGCACCGCCGAATTGAACCAGCAAGCAGCTCTCCTTGATCTGTTCCAGACGCTTCACGTGTCTGCGGAAGCCAGCCAGCCAAACTGCGCATTTGTATCCGAAAGTGATTGGGAGGGCATGTTGCAGATGCGTCCTGCCGGCCATGGGTACATCTCTGTAAGCGGCGGACATTGTCTCTAAGGTGGAGGTGACTTTGCGCAGAAGACGCTCGACGATTTCAAGACCAGTTTTCATTTGGAGTACCGACGCTATGTCCATGATGTCTTGCGTTGTGGCACCCCAGTGAATGTAACCAGCTTGAGGTTGAAGCTTTAGCAAGTTGAAGTACCATTTGTGGAATTGTCAGCCAAGACTTACAAGTCTCTTCGGGAACCCATTTCGACATCTGTTCTACCAAAGGCAGTACCGGATATCCCACGATCTCTGTGCGGGCTGCAAGAAGCTGCCAGTCGATTTTGGAGACATTGCAATGCTCCCTCAATACGGCAGCAGTGCCACCCGGCACAATACCTTCAGCTTCTTCCGCCTCGGCCAGAGCGCACTCGGCCTTGATAAGATTGGCAACATAAGATCGTTCAGAGAAGGCTTGGCGAGCCTCCTCTGTGCCAAAAATGTTGCCAAAGAGCGTCGAATCGAAGACAGTGGCGGCAGACATGGCGAGTGGAATGCGCTTAGAAGCAGCAGTTCAGACGAGAGAGAGCAGAGAGCAAGCTTCGTCCCAAGACAAGCTTTCCAAATGCGTCGTCGCGTTCTCCTCGGTCTGTTTTATTCCTTGACTTGGATGGACATCATTCCGGCCAACGTCCGGACTTACACCGAGGACCCCGCGGTGGGGCACGGGATAATGCAGTTGCGGGGGGACCAAATCGCGGGATAAGGACGGAGTAAGGTCGTGTTGAGCGGCGTAACGGCGTAACGGCGTATCGGAATAGCACAGACCATGCGCCGGTTCGCCGGGTCTTGGCCCCTTTCCCCGTATCCTGAACTTCGGGTCTGAGTTAAACATGAGATTGGCGCTTGCGGGGAACGTGTATTTTCTGGGGTTGAGTCGAGCCAGCCCCGCAAAGCCGGGGATGGCCAGATGATAGATAGCTGTTATGTATAAATCAGACGATGTCTTGTGTGTTTTCTCATTGACACAGAGACCGAAAGAGCATAGAATCTCTTGTCTGCGACCTCGTTTTCTCTCTCTCTCTCTCTCTCTCTAAGGTGCCTTCTGACTTCGTCTCTCGTCTCTACTGAAAATGGCAGCTACACATGATGCCGATTCCAAGAAAGGCGGCCCGCTCGAAATTGAACACGATGAAAAGTCGGTCAAGGGCGAGGCCGTTGTTTCTGGCGATTACTCCGGCGCCCATGAGAAGACTGATCCGGCTGAAATCGCCCTCGTCCGTAAGCTAGATCGCAGGATCATGGTAAGCCTCTGGGATCTTGACTGGCCCCTTTTGTGAGCATGATGCTAACGTGGTATCTTCTCGTAGCCGATTCTTTGGGCAATGTATTTCATGAATTACGTACGTCGAGACCTGCCTGAGTTATATGTTCCCACTCGAAAGTCGGCCCTAACCTCGAACTTAGCTCGATCGTAACGCTCTCCCTCAAGCTCGACTGAACACGCTGGAGGAAGACTTGGGACTGAAAGGGGTCGAATACAACACTGCCATCTCTATTCTTTTCGTTGGGTACCTTCTGATGCAGGGTCAGTTAATATTTTGGAAATTTCTCAGGTGCGCTGAGTCTGACCACGTCTAGTGCCCTCAAATATGTTCCTCACACGCACGAGCCCATCAATCTATATGTCAACTTGTATGATTGGCTGGGCTGCCATCTCTGCTGCCACAGCGGGAGTCAAAAACTACAGTGGATTGGTGGCATGCCGGTTCTTCCTTGGATTTGTGGAAGCAGTGAGTTGCACAAAGCAAGTGAAAGGTGGAGCGCAGGCTAATCTGGGTTCGCCTTTCCAGCCCTTCTATCCAGGTGCCCTGTATCTGCTATCGATCTTCTACACCAGGAAAGAGCTCGCAACGAGAATATCCATCCTCTATACTGGTCAAGTAGTCAGTACTGGCTGCTCAGGTCTGATTGCTGCTGCGACTTTTACAACCCTAGATCAGGTCAAGGGAATTGCAGGCTGGAAATGGTAAGAGCTGCATATATTATCTGTCATGGATTATGATCTAATAAGGTTAGGCTCTTTATCATTGAAGGCTCGGTCACCGCATTGATTGCCGTCTTCGGGTTCTTCCTTCTTCCTGACGATCCCTCTGTTACCCGATGGCTTACCGAGGATGAGAGACAACTTGCTGTTGAACGCATTCGTCGGGATACAGTCGGCAGACAAGAGCGTGGCTCTACCATGGATGGTCTCAAGCAGGCTCTGAAAGACCCCAAAACCTGGTTGTTCTGCGCCTGCCAGAACTTCCATATTTCTGCGGTTAGCTTCAACGCATACTTTCCAACCCTTGTTCGTACCATGTAAGTTACCAAATAACGGACCCCTACCCAAAAAGTAACAAGTGCTTAAAGTCGGAAAAACGCTAATGTCCGATTAGGGGCTTCAAGTCGACTACGGCTCTTCTCCTAACCGCTCCCCCCTACTTTGTTTCTGGCTTTCTTGGCATCCCATTTGCCTGGTCAAGCGGGCGATTCAACGAAAGAACCTGGCACATCACAGCTGGACTATCTCTTGCTGTGGTCGGATTCGCCATGACGATTGGGACCACCAATAATGCTGTCAGATATGCAGCAACTTTCTTGTATGCAACTGGTGCTTACTCCGTAGGATCTCCTATCTTGGGATGGGTAAGCGATACCTTGTCACAGACGCCAGAGAAGAAAGCCGTCGCATACTCCTTGGTCAACGTCACGGCCAACTTGGCTTATATCTACTGTGCCTACCTTTGGCCCACCTCTGATGGACCCAGGTACATGATCGGCTTCTCATGCATGATTGGTTTTGCCGTTGCAAGCATCATATGTGCGTGGGCGATGAGGTTCTGGTTGATGAGTATCAACAAGAAGCTCAGGGAGAGTGAGGATGAGAATGTGAAGCTCTATGCTTACTAACGTCCATCGTCGGTATGGGAACAGGTATCCTGTAGGCCTTTCACCCTACCATTCTAAGGGCCTTTAGGTAGTACTCTCGGGGTGGACTGCGTGTAATTATATCTCATCAACGTCGGCTTAGATGACCAGTCATAAAGTTGAACACAACTCTCAATTCGGCAGTTTCCAGTGGTCTCTCCCTCTTTTCATTGATGCCGCAGTATCGTTGCGTCTTCCATGTGCAGCCAAGCAACGCTGAGTTGGATCCAAGCATCACAGAGCCCAGAAGCCCTTGTTGTAAACGAGGATTTTCTGAATGAAGTAGGAGGGTAAGAGCTGCCATCTCTGAGGGTCGAGGCCTTCGCCGTGTCACTACGAGCTGAGTGCCCCTTTGAGAAGGCAAGATGAGACTAGATCAACCACTACTTGCATGATGTGTCTTCATCATCCAATGACGCTTTCACATTGGTTGAATCTGCCTGTCATGTACTCGTGATAGACTATCCCTCGGAGAAAGCGATGGCAACACCGCGCGAAGCCGCGCCTGAGCGAAGCTTGCTTCAAGTCAACGGTTACGTTCGACGGAGTAGCGGGTTTTATTTAGTACTAGACCGAGTCACCCTTGACTGTGTGAATACGGATAATTATCCTTGTTTTCCACAGTGAATGATTCCACATTTCATCAAGTGAATGATGCAGGCAACTCACACCAGTATTTCGCAAACGATGATTTCATGACACGACCTTACATCGCGGGATGCTGTGCTGAAGGGAATCCGAGAGCGAGCCAATGCGGTCCACCAGATCTCTAGTTTACGAGACCCTCGTACGAAAATCCGATAAGTCGGCGGAAAGGTCCACCAACCTTTAAGTTCTATTCGCAAAACGTGGCTTGTGGCGATATGTTTGCCCAACACGGTATGGAACGGGAGGAAGAGTCCGAGTTTTAGACTTGTTCGGCCATCCACTTGCATCGCCGACTTTCACTAACCTCCTAGTCGTGGCCCTTTCATCTGCCTAAACCCTTGTCACTACCGAGATTTGGTTGAGAAGCAGAGGGGAGGACCCCTGTCATTGTAGCATCTTGATGACATTGACAGCCCTGTCCCACTCGACAATACCCCTTCCAGCATGCCCCCCAGCTATTAGCTCCCGTAACAGGAAATGTCTGCCGGGCCCGAATGACCTCGGACTTGCCAAATGGTGACTTTGTCGGCGCGGAGCAGCAGCCACCTCCGCGTCGGAATGGTCAGGACGAGGATTTTCCCATCACACAGAGAATCCTAAGATTTAGGGGCTGCCGCATCGGCCAGAATGACAGCGGCGATCGTGTACGTGTGGAGACGGTTCACGTGTTTTATTCCCATTGCTGTTAGGTGGAAATGGATCTATGGAAACTTCGCCGCCTCTAAGGTGCCGGCCCAGCCCTATAGCGCCGCTTGGCACAAACCGTTGCAGCCGCGCGAGAGACGTGCAATATGGGGATGTTTTAGGATGAGAAAGAGTCGAGGCCTCCTCGTGTCGCCCCGCGGTTACTGCGTCTTGGCGTGGCAGTAGGATCATACAGCTAGGAGTTTAGACTTGTTTTTAACCTTGTACGATCCCCGATACCATAGCCTTGGTTCGAACCAAGCTCCTCCTCGGTCTTCATATTCTTTCTCACTATAGTTCTTACTTCAACTACACTCGCTTTCTCTCCTAGCCTTGCACGATGAAGGCCTGTCTTCTCTCTCTCGTCGCCGCTCTTGCGAGCACGGCCACTGCACAGGTGCAGGGCAAAGCGTTTGGCTTCGCAGCTGGCACCACTGGTGGTGGCTCAGCTAGTCCCCAGATTCCTTCTAGCATTGCTCAGTGAGTTGGTCTTCATCATCGACAAAGAATCACAGGGTCCAGAGACTAAAACTCGGCAGACTTAAGGAGTGGCTTACCGACAGCACGGCCCGGACCATCATGATCGATCGCACTTGGGACTTTCGCAACACTGAGGGCACGACCAGCGGCAAGTGTTGCAGTGATAATCGCACGACCAAGTGTCCCGGTGGCACTTCCAAGGGCCAGGCCTGGATCCAGGACACCTGCGATGCTGCTAGTGGTACTTGGGTTGACTGCACTTACGACAACGCTGCGAAAACCCCCATTGATATCAACAGCAACAAAAGTCTTGTTGGCGTTGGCACTAAGGGTGTCATCATTGGCAAGGGATTCCGTGTTCGTGGTGGAAAGAGCAATGTCGTGGGTCTTCCCTGTTGTGCTACCAGCACTACCTACTTTTGAGAGTCAAGATATTGATCGAGGTCCCTTCAGATCATCCAAAACGTCCACATCACAGTACGTTTCTAAGCTTCCGCCGCAATGTTGATTTCCGGTGTAGCTGACTGTATGTAGAATCTCAACCCTCAATACGTCTGGGGAGGCGATGCCATCACTCTTGACGGTGCCGACAAGGTCTGGATCGATCACGTCAAGATCTCCCTGATCGGCCGCCAGTTCATCGTCTCTGGTTGGGGAGCCGCCGGCAAGGTAACTATCTCCAACACCGAGTTTGACGGCAACACGGAGTGGTCCGCCGGCTGCAACGGGAAGCACTATTGGACCGCCCTCCTCATCGGCGCCAAGGACTACTACACCTTTTCTGGTAACTGGCTGCATGACGTCTCTGGCCGCTCCCCTCATATGGGAACGACAAATACCGCTGGCAGCGAGAACCTGTTCCACGGCGTCAACAACTACTTCCAAAACGTCGGCGGCCATGCCTTTGACATTGACGGTAACACCTGGGTCCTTCTTGAGGGCAACTACTTCGATGCCGTCACCACGCCCATCACTCCCGCCAGCTTGACCAACGGAGGCAACATCTACATCGTGAACACCGTCGACGAAGCCTCTCGCTGCACCTCTTACTTGGGTTACATCTGCGAGTGGAACCGCGCTCGTGACTCTGGTGTTGTCAGCAGTCTTACCAGCACGACTGCCCTCACTAAGCTGGGTGGCTTCAAGTCTTCGCTCATCGGCCACATTGGCGTTGCCGACGTTCCCGCCAAGGTTAAGGCCAATGCTGGTGTTGGCAAGACCACGAGCACCAATGCCTAGGCGCTTGCACAAGCATAGCTTCCCCTCGAGAGTGGCGAGAGATTGCTCACATGAGCTCTACCAAGTATAGTCCGTTCTTTTGCGGCCATATCTTGCGGCCATTTCCTGTATCTATTCTTCCCGTACATATGTATTCCGGCCTTGAACATACCTTCACTTCTTGCCACCCCCTTGTAAGCTCACATGGTTTAGACGTTATTTTTTTGTGAAATGTGATGGTTTCAAGTGAGCCTTGACAATCAATACAACTATGGACTCGGGTATCTAATGATGTTCTGTCGTTACCATCTTACACTCCCATGTACCACCCCTTACTCGTTTCTCTATTCTTCAAAGCAACAGCAACGCCAAACACCACAAACTTCAACGCAAACAGGAGAAAAGTTCAGAGCAGCACCCATCAAACTTTTGCGTGTCCCTATATTTCCACTCACTAATCATTCACCCTCTATCTGAGATTCTCAAGAGTCTCGCAATTCCCATTCTTGGTGTATTGTTGGGTATTGAACTGCCTTGGCTTGCCCCGATAGCCACGCATGGCAAGCCTCGTAGTGTGAGAAGTGAGGGTTTTGCTTATACGACGTCACCATTCGGTCGGCTACATCAAGCACACTTCGACCTTCCACGTCCCGGGCTTGTACATTTGCGTTGTGTTGTTGAAGTGTACGCATGGCAAGCTTTTTGCCTCTGCGGACTGCGACATGCAGCGCGGTCTCGCCATTCTTATTACGGGCATTGACGTCGGCACCCGCATCGATGAGAGCCTCCAAGATGTTGACGGGCTTCTTGTAGTCGTCGTCTTCGGGTAGCTGGGCCACAAAAGCCATCAGAACGGTGTTGCCGTATTTGTCATAGTGGTTTGCGTCAACGCCGAGGTCAATGAGGTCTCTCACGACCTTTTCCCTGGCAGTGAGCCTCTCCTTTGAGGAGTCTGTGAGTGTTTTGCTAGGTTTGTTGTGTTTGCGCTTACGGCTGCTACCGCCGGAATGCTCTGCGGTAGCTGCCTGCGCAAGATGCTGGGGGAACCTGGCGAATAATGACTCCTGACTGAGAATAGCATCGGCAAGGCAGTGCAGACCGTTGCGTCCTTGTGTATCTTGTACTCGGGTGTTGGTGTGTGCTTCGTTGACGAGCTTCAGAAGTTGTGCTTGTTCCTCGATAGGAGACGGACCCCTGCGCAACGTATGTGAATCCCAGGTCGAGGACATCTCTTGCCCGACAGCAGCAGTATAGGCTCTCCGGATTGGCAGTGCGATAGGGGCAGATTCAGGAATGTTGCCAAATGCGTCGCGGCAGCAATATGCCATGGGGTTAAACTGGTTAAGAAGGGCGTTTTTAATCTCCTGGCTCAGAACGCTCGGCTTTTTTGAGTGGATAATGTGACAAAAGTTGCGCCCGTATACATCGCGAGCATACAAGTCAAAATCGGATCGCTTCAGACGAGTAATGAGCTGGAAGAGAGAATCGGCGTGTTGGGTAAACCAGCTGTCGTTGAGCAGATGTAGGAATGTCTGACCGGCGCTATTCGTGACCGAGGGGTTGGGGGACGACTCGATTGCCTTGAATAAGAGGGCGTGGTGAGCGTTCCCGGCTGCAAGAAGATGCAAGATACTGTGGCCAAAGGGGTCGCGAGTGTTCCAATCCTGATTCGGAGGCTCTCCACAATGCAGGATGTGTTGGGCAAAAGGAGTTGGACCTGAGCCGGTGACCCAAGAGTCATTCGGGAGTTCGTCTCGTACGTGGCAGAAGCAAGATCGCGAGTCATGCTCCGCGAGCCCTTCAGAGCAAAAGCCTTGTTTGAGGAGGTGGTACGGTAGGTTGAGATAGTCGCCGGGCAGGGGTGCAGCTTGTGATTCCGAGTTTCTCTGTGGCGCATTGTACTCGAATATCCAGGATGCTGGGTTAGAGTTGGCAGTGCCAGGTCGGTCGTCGTCCGATGGTGATTGGTTCATCATCGTGTTGCTCGGCATCGTGTAGCGCTTCAACAGCCTGCTGACTTGGTGACGGAATCCAGTTGAATACTGTGAAAGCACATCCTGCAGGGTTTGTGTCGTTGTCTGCCGGTGGATTCCGGCTTCGGGCGGCGGCACGGACGCAATATCGGTGGTCACTAATGTCGGAAGTGGCCCCGGGGCCGGCGGGCCCCAGCCAGCAGAAGATGAGCGCGAGTGGTGAAAGGGTTGAAAGTCGTTGACGGTTGGGCTGTCGCCGCCTTCGTATTTGAAATCAGGGAGTACACTCAGATGCGATCGGGCGCCGGAAGAAATTGAGCGAGAGTAGTTTGGCGAAAACGCGTTCTCGGGCGTGTTCTGGCGGGTTGGGGAGTTATCAAGGGCGCTTATGCGCCGGTCCATGTCTGTCCGGGTTCGTGGGTGAAGCCATCGCGGCTCTTTGTCAAGAATTGAGTTCAGTTTTTTGTTGGCTGAATCCTTTCTAGTAAGCAAGGGCTGGCGTCAGCAACCGCATTTGCGCCGGCGCAAACCAATCTCTCAGCTTACCCTGGACAGTCTCGTTTTCCCGGAGTGACTCTATGAACGACTTCGACAATTTTGGTGAGAGGCAAGGTCGTGTAGACATAGAGCCTAGCTAATCTGCGCTCGGCCGAGTCATTCCAAAGCGAAGGGCGACCAGTCTGGGTCGCGTGCGAACTTGAAGGTGAAGCTGACATGAAGCTCGGGTTGGAGGCTGGCTGCCACAGCCTTGTCAAGTAGAGCGTCGTAGAGCGTGTAAGTGAGGCGGGGAAGGGAACTTGACCCTATTGCTGGTGAGTTTTGCTGTAGGCCAAGTGTCTGACGAGAAATTGAGGCAAAAGACTCAGGTTGAAGCGAGAGACATGATGGACAACGGGGAGGATGGATCTGTAGTTTTGGCCATGAAGTGAGGGGGACGACCAGGCTATCAATGGGCTGAAAGATGGTGCCTTTCGCTGTGGCGCCGCCGCGGTGCTGCTGCGAGAGAGGTAGGGAGGGAGGGAGGGGAATGGGCGGCCCCAGAGAATAGACGGGAGCCGGCACAGAGCAAGGGTCAACAAGCAGCTAACGCCAACGATCTAAGCGTGGAAACGTGATAAGACTGGGCCCTCAGTACACCGGGGTTTGGTAGCACAGCAAACTGGCAGCCTGGAGGAGGAGGTCTCGAAGGTGGTCTGGCGGAGCCAATGGCTATGAAGTAGAAGAATGATGGTGGTGCGCCAGTCGGCTGGGTTGCAGGGGACAGAGGCTCAGCTGTGAGCCAAGGGGGCACCCCGGGGGGGCGGGGGGGGTTTCCGGACTTCATCAGACTGAGCAGTATGGGACCAAGTTTGTTGTGACGGATGAGGAGGATTCTCAATATCCATTTACTTTCAGGATAGTGAGGAAGTTGAGATTTTGTGCCAGTTCTTGACGGGCAAAGGAGTGTTTGTGAGACAGCTTCGGTCAGCTCACAGAGAGCTGCCTCAATAAAGTGTTGGATTTAGGCAACGGAATTACTGGCGCTTTGAGTTGCTCGGCTATCCGTAGAAGCACTCTAGGAGCGAATCCCAGTCACAGTAAGCGCCCATTGACAACGATCCCCCGTCATCCGTTCTCGGCGTCAGCGGTTACAATGGTGCCAGAAGCCGCTATCCGCGACTGTCTTCTCTCTTGTTCCACGGGGAAAAGAAGAATCGAGAGCAATGAGATGAAGATGGCTTCATCCCAAACACAGTGACCGCGTCGCACAATGACGGATAGCGTATCGGTAGGGAAGAGGGACTCGGACGGGCCGCAGTGGATTCGAGTTGCTACTGTGAACCGCAGCAGCAAACATTGTAAGCGACCGAGTGTGTGTGAGCGAATGAGTGAGTGAATGAGTGGGGGGATCAGAAAATGCCCTGTCAGGCAGAGTTGAGAGGGAGGGACTGGTTGTGTGGCTGAGCCAGGTTGGTGTAGCCCTCGCGCTACCACAGGACAGCAGCTCGGGAAAATGACGTGCGAGAATGAGATGCGACTGCTAGGTATTACCTAGGCACTTCTCTGGGCTCATACGGAGACGGATAGAAGTCTAATCTTTCCGTCCGGAGTGAGTGGTGAGAGAGGGAAATCCCTTACTTGAGCTTCGACCAAGATTGCTTTGTAAATGAGCGGTCCGTAATTGAATTGGCATTCGGTCGCAAACATTTTATCCTATGCTGCCTTGATAAATCGGCAATAGTGGTTATGTATCTCTTACTACTCCGTACACCTGACTGAAATCGAATTAGGGTCTGGCGAAAGCTGAGCACCTCGCTCAATTCTATGGCTCGTTAAGCATTGAAAAGACAATGATGAGAGTGATTGCAATTCCATTCTTTGTAAGGGGGAAAAAAAAACAGGGCAATTTGCCATGAGCCGTGACAACACAGAAATGCTTCATTCTCCGCTTGGCTACTCCGTAGCATGTAGCCAATTCTCGGCCCAAATGCTTCTAAGTGTGCTACGCCTCTCGGTTGTACTCCATCCTTCCGCGAAGCACCGCCCGCAAACCCAGCCACATCCATAATCCATACCTTTGCTCGTTGTCGATGAGGTGGGTGTGGGTGTGGTGCATCAGATTGAACGCCTGGGTATTGCAATGTGTTGCAATGTAACTCAGCACCAACGCTCGCTGCAGATAGACAAGTAAGTCATCGGCGGCCTCGGCGAGCCCAGGATTCTTCTTTGCGGTGTGACCTGTTTCGAGTGATGTTGATCTTGGCATGAATTGCAACTGAGCCACAGAGTCAAGTTGAATATTGTAGGTCTGCGCCATTGATAGCTCTGGATGCCTCCGCATCACCTCTCTCCCTCCTTGTCTCGTATGCTTCACGTCACTGACTCTCATCTCCAGCACGTATGTCATGGCCTGGATCCCAGTTCCCACAACGTCGATATGCCCCGCCCCCAAACGGCGAGGCGAAGAAGTTGGGGTTTTGATGGTGGCGATCGTCTGGCGGCCCTCCTGCAAATCACCATCCACGCTCGCCAAGCTATTCCTTGAGGGCAAGTGAAGCTTAGATCCCGTTCACCGCGCCCCTCTGTTCAAGTCTGGGCCTTGACCAGGCGCCAGGCTCTTGCGATACCTACGTAAAGCCTTTCAGCCCAGACTAGCCTGCGTGCCCCCATGCCTCCTAACTCTTCCCCGAATGTTCCACGGACACGAGAACATAGCGCGGACCCTCTTACTCGCATCCATCCCGCGCTGGGTCTCGACAGCCACGCAAACTAGCGATACATAGTCCCGCCCGCCAACATCTGCCCTCTCAAGCCAGCCCGCCTGCATGCCTATCACACAAAGTGCCTGTTACTATCTTACCTACCTCTGAAAGAAGCCGCCGCCTGTCCGCTGTCTCATCCCTGCACGTCTATCTCCCGGAAGTCATCCCAGATCCACGCGAGTGGCAAAACTACTTGGCGATGCAATGGAAGCTTCGAAAAAGTTACCCAAGCTCCCTCCATGCGCGACGGTTCTGGCCAGTTCCAACCGGGATCAACCCTCCCCTTGTCCTCAATCCTCCGGCTTTTTTCCAGATGCATTTTCTCTATTCCGACTTCTACCCTTCAACATTACTGTCAAGCATTATTCTAACAGTTCTCTAGGTCGGGAAAGGAGGTTGTCGCTCACTGCCAGCCAATGCTTCAATCTTTACGTTCCTAATCCAATGTTCCCATGACAGTCTTTACCGTCAAGTGACTGCGGCGCTAGGTCGCTTCCCCTGTCGCTCATCTTCAATATTCTCCGTAACATCACAGCCATGCTCTGGTGTATGGACACTCCATTTTTTCCGATTGTAATTCCTAACTATTCCCTTTCAATCCTAATTCCACCATGATACCCGGTGCCCCTAGGTATGGTTCCTTCACAATACCAACTAGTATCGTTTCGAAAAAGGATGCACTATGATATGTTTTGTCCACTTCCTCGTGGTTTGTATTTGCAGCGGGCGATACAGCTGCCTATTCCCAAGTTCAAGCTGGGCCATCTCTCACTTACATCCTTTCATATATAATAAGGCCTGATCTGTTGGGTTGCCGTGTAGTTTTCAAGGCCAGGCCAAACCAACTTCATCTTCACGATCCTAACAACCAACATCCACCCATCTTGCACTTTTGTCACCACCCTCATCATACCCGCCCCTCCACAACGCAATATGTCAGGATCTAGCTACTACCAGCGTCCCGCTCCGAGGTATGACGTCCAATCTCTCACTTCTCCCCTTGCACCCTGTCAGACCGATCCTAATGCCTGCCAGCTACTCTCAATATTCCACGTCTGCAAACACCGGCGGGCAGAGACGCGATACACCTGCCAATCAAACGTCATATACTACCACAAGCTACTCACGCTCATCCGACCCGATGGACAGATTCTGGGTCACGGGCCAGTCGTCGGCTAGGCCCAATCGTGTAGCTGGACAGATGGAGCAATGGGATAGGCAATGGAGTTCGGCAAGTCGTCGCTAATACGACCGGTTGGCTCTTCGAAGGAGTGTGTGGGAACTTCCATGCCAGCCCTCCTTGTGTTCTTTGTTGTATGTTTATGATTAGTTTGCTCGATACCCACCCAGCATAGCATTTCACATTGTGTATCACCATTCGAGAAACCTTGATTCCCCGCAAAATATCTACCGTCCCTTGACTCCCCGCATCACCACCTCACATCGTCACCGACCAAGGCCGCCGCAACGCCCCAGGGAAGCGCAAAAGCAAAAGCGAGCACCCGCAACAGCGTTGGAACTCCTCCACCTGGGCTCGAACCAGGGATCTCCCGATTAACAGTCGGACGCCTTAGCCAACTGGGCCATGGAGGATTGATGTTGCCGAATGAGGCTCGTCAGCTGAGATGCGAGGTTCGGAGGAGTAGGTGTTGGCTAAGAGGTGTTTGCTAAGATCTCATGCTCAGTGTTTCTGGCTGGGGCTTGCGCATTCGGATGACGGCCTAAGTTTGAGGGCGACAGAAGAGACGAGATGGCAGAGGTCACCTCATCGGCTATTAGGTGGGATACTTGTTCAGAATCGGTTGACGGGGTTAACAGATTGATGACGGAGAACCTCGGCATGATCTATAGCCAGCATAGTATTATATGTAAAGAGTTCTGAGCGGGCAATAGCATCACAAACATTGCATCAATGGCCGAGAGTTCAGGCCTAGCGTTTCGACAGATCGGGTCTGCCATCCGGTGATCATACCTATATGAGACGGTATAGGGTGCGGTCCCTTAACAGATGCATTGCTCAAATGATCTTGTGCCTGCGTATGAGCAACGGACGCCCTTTTGGGACAGATGCAGTCTTGGTCAGCAAGATAAAGGAAGAGTCACTCTCTAATTTGAAAGAAGAGCCTCCGAAGCACACATCATCCTGGAACCGATATTCTCGGGTTCCCAGCGACAGGGGGGCGATGTTGTATCCCGCATGTTTTATACCGAGTGGACGTACGTAGGGCTACTATTGTCTAGTTTTTGACCCGAGCTTACAAAACCGTCACGCCGGATTGTGATCCACCTCGCCGGGTCATCCCGTCTTCAAGTTCACGCTGCATATAGTATAACAAGCTTCGGCTAGGGTGAAGACGGGACAAAAGCCCGCCGGCAGTTACAGTCTCATCTGCATTTCGAAATCTTGGCGAACCGACTGAAACTTTCATCCGCAACAGAAAAGATGGGACGAAGCACCGACGACACCAGTTCCTCCTCATACCGGTGTGGATGTGTAATGATATGGAAAAAGAGGGAACTATACCAGAACGTTTCCGAAGAGACCGAGATGACAGGTCTCATCTTTTTTCCGGACCCAAACTTCATACTACGTCCCAAGGATCCGAGAAATCATGCAAAGCGGCCACGATGGGCCCTGAGAAGGGCTAGACAGACTTGTGGAATGGACATCTTTGTTTCCCTGAGAGAAACCATTTAGCTCGATCCGGAACGTGAAGCTCGCGCCAGGCGGCGGACCGTCGATTTTACCCCGCCAGCGCACAAACCGGCACCGGGACACAGCTTCAGTCACGGTCTCATCACCTCATTTCACTTCATCTTACCTCTTCAACTTCACAACGGGGCATTGTTCATTCGAAGCTCTAGCATCGTTACATCAGATCGTTGCTTAGTTTCATTGACCTCACAAATCGGAAAGACTGGCTGTTCAACCTTAGAGGTACCTGAGTCTCAGAGCCATCACCTCTAGTCAACAGAGAGCCTCGAAAGCGAGGACCCCGGTCCTTGCATGAACCACCGACATGGCCCAAACAAGCCAGCGAAGGAAGCGCCAGGCAGAAGAAGTTGAAGAGGAATACCAAGAACCACCTTTCAAAAGAAGTCGCGCGGAGGATATTGCCTACTTCCAGTGGCTATGGACACCACCTCGCCCGTCATCACGGAAAACCTCCTCATCGGGTCTATGGAGCCACTCCGTCCCAGATGGCCTATTCCTTACCCGTCATGACGCGCCCCGTTCCTTTTCTTTACCCCCGGAATCCACATCAAGTTGGCCTCGTCGCCGGGGCGCCATCTCTGTGACATCCTCGTCACCCGGCGAGATGGATCGATACCTCGCGCGGCAACTACAGCAGCAGATCGCCGTCCTCCGACGCAAGGCAGCCGAGGGCCAGCATCAAGTACAAGACGAGGATCGCTGTGAAGATGACGGCGATGATGATAACAATGCCCACAACGAAAGGGACGTTGATCGCCTACAACGTGAACTAGAGGCCGTGCAGATCGACGCTTCCCTACCGTCTATCCTGGGCATCGCGATAGACTTTGATCAAAAGCTTTGCCTCAGTTCCTCCGGTCGTTCATCAGATTCCACCTCTGGGCATCGAGGTAAGCGATCAGGTGTTTGAGCGAAGCCCAAAGGATGGCGTCAACATACAGATAAACGCACACACAAAACTGGTGGAAATCTAGGAGAGTGTATGTGACACGGGTGAGAGGATGTGTGAGAGAGAGGGAGAAATACAGAGTCATCTTCACCTGTCAATCGTCGATCAAACACAGCGGAGAGAGGGGGACCATTTCTCTAACAGAGTTGCATAGAAACCGGTTCGCCCGCGGGCGCGGATGCCGCAACCTCCTCATCCTCTCCACTATCCTCCTCTCCCACGTGCTGCCGGCTCTGGGCATCGAATAAAGTCAACTCAGCAACCGGAGATACGAGCCCGACTACTCGGCAACACACCCTCGTCAACACCTGCGGTAAAAGTAGTCGAGGCAGAAAAGGTGTCGGCAATGATGGTCTTTTGTGGAGGCGGCCTCGAACTTGAGACCAAACTCTCTGTTGCCAAGCTTCGATCCAACACACCAGCAAGACACACAGACACCAGACCACCCACCCTCTTTCTCCCTGTCTCACTCATCGTATGGCGGAAGAAGCGGGCGATTACTGACGACCTCCGTCTCTCGTCTTGCATGAATGTCATACCATCATAATACATTTTTGTATTATACTTCAAGTAAAAATATGAACGTTTGGGTATCATGACCCTGAGGAATAGATAATAGAACAATGGAATAATGAAAGTTGCCCAGGGAAATCTGAGCGCATTAGAAAGTTTCCGTTTCTTTTCTGATACCTGTCAATCGATGGATTGAGAACCACCGTCGGTGGCTCTCCCTCCCTGTACCATTTTCAACCCCGCGTGCCTCTAGGCCTATCGCTCTCATCTTGTTGGCGGAGGCGGCGAATTAGACCTCGCAAATGGCCAATTCGGATCCTTCTCCCTTGTCGGGGTATCTGCCAGGTCCCCAAACGGACTCACGGTCTGCGTCCGTCTCAACCAGTTCTTTGTGCCCTCCCCAAACTCATCGCTTTCTTCGTCCACCCTATCCAGCTTTTCATTGTTTGCCGGACCCTGTGCCTGTGCTTGTACTGATGCAGGCGATGGGCCTGTGCCTGGATTAATCGTGAGAGGAGGGGGAGCCTCCTTTTCTCGATCTCGCGCAGGGGCCGGGGTGGCAGGCAACGACGTCGCCGGCGTGCCATCCCTAGACCTTGGCGGGAATAGAGAATAGGGCGGCTTCTTGGGCGAAGGCGGCACCGGCCTTCTCGACACCGACTGTTCCCTCTGTATCGTACCCATGCCCATCTGCGGCGCGGTACTGCTCACAAACGTCGTCTGTCGAGAAAAGTTGGGCTGCCCATCGCCGAAATCACTGACCGCGTAGCCCATGCCTCCAGATGACCCCGTCGTACGTGCTGTTTCTGGACGGGTCGGTGATATTGGACGCTTGACATCTTGCGGGTAGCCATTGTTTATAGCCAGCGCGTTTGTCGTCATCAGAGTATTCTGCTTCGGGTAGCTGATTTCACGACGGAGCTCCCGCGCCGTCTGGTCCTTGCGCTTGTTACGCCGGTAACGAGTAAAGATGTAGAAGCCCAGTATGGTGAGAAGAGATGAGCCAATGATGGCCCCCACGACGGCGAGAGCCGCCTGGGTAACTGAAACTGCGGCCCCTTGTGCTTGTGATACACGCAAATTTGCATCGTCCTGTGTTAAAAGGTTAGAAGTCTTGAATGACACACAACCACGGAGTGACCACGGCGTGACCACGAAAGAACCACGTACCCTCGCAGCTTGAATTTGCTGCTGTGCCTGCTGCTGAGCATTCGATATAGCCGCACTAGCGGATTGTGTCGCAACAGCAATGGCTTGCGCAGCACTTGCGCTGGCACTGGCTTGTATGCTCGCAACCTGAGAAGCCAGCTGCGTCTGCGCACTCGCCGTAACCATGGCAAAGTTGTCCGCAACCTGCTTGCTCGCACTCTCCTTGGCCGCGTTCTGGGCGTTGAGTATTCCCTCCTTAGCGCTTGCCTGTGCCTGGACGACGGCATTGTTGGCCGATATCGAGGCCCGGGTGGCCGCATCGTTGGCCTGCCTCGCCTGCTCCTCCGCCTGCCGCTGTCGATCTCCGGCCTGTCTCACTTGGTCGTTTGCTTGTTGGATAGCTTCTCGAGCAGACTGGGATGCCGAGGCAATGGCCTGCTGTGCTGATCGAGATGCCGAGTTGATGGCGTCAATGGGGTTGCCGATTGCTTGTCGCCCGAAGAGAGCCGCTGGTGTCGGCACCGATAACACGACACGGTCTTCAAGGCGGGCCGGCTTGTTGTCATCTGTTGATGCCGTCGGCGGCAACATCCTCTTGCCCAATAAGTCCTCGACTATATCATGGCCTGCCCCCCTCCTCCTCCTTTGAGGTTCCGCCGGTGACCTGTGGTCTCCTCCGTTGTTCACCCATCTTGCTCTTCGCCCACTTCCTTCATCCGCCGCAACTGCCACCAACATAAGTGAGGCCAGAACACATAGCAGTACTATTCGTGGGAGGCAAGCCTTCACCATGATTTCATTGTCGTCGAATTATATGTTCCTCCTCTTCACCGTAATCATATTATCCGTAGTAGGTAGTCCGAACGAAAGAAGCAAATCTCAAATCACCATTAACAAGAAGACCAATAATCAGCAAGAG